AAACTGAAGCATGCATATAATTGTCTATGAAGACTGACAGTTAACTGTCACGATTTGATTAAATTTACGCTCAAGTAAAAAAGCAAAAGTATGTGATACCAGCACAGAAACACAATACGTATGAAGGTAGCCCAGTTAGAAAATCAGCAGAAAAAACATCAAGGTTGTGATATCACGTAATAAATGCCAAGTTAGGTAGTAGGTGAGTTTCTCTCTTTGTTTCTTAGCGCAAAATTGCACAATTGGTTACCCGGGTTCTGATCGAACTCCGGATTTTAACGTTGTAAGTCCTTAAACATACTGCTGACCTACCAGGGATTGTTTGTTTTGGTGCAAAGTTACATAATGGGTTATCTGCACTCTGTCCACAGCAGAGAATCAAACCCCGGATTTTAGCGTTGTTGGCCGTTAACTTACCGCTGACCCACCTGAGAACATAGATGAGTTGAAAGAAAAAGCATGTGTTGCAGTTCAAATATGGAGTGAAGTATGTGTTGCAGTTCAAATATGGAGTGAAGTATGTGTTGCAGTTCAAATATGGAGTGAAGTATGTGTTGATATGTAGGCAGTTCTGACACAACATTAACAGTTAGTGAAGTACTATTTCATTAGAAGTTACAAGATAATTAAAAAATAGGAATCTAAAAACCTGCAAATAGAGATCGTAAAATAAGTAAAGAAACAAGGCTGGAGATACTGTAGACATTATTTACTCAAACCACAATTTTGGCGCCATGCTGTTACCTAAAATTAGATTTGGTGGATTCAAAATAGGGATTTGCAGACTGAGTAATTAATAATGTCTACTGTATCTCCGGACTTGTTTCCTTTCTTTTTTTTACGTTCCCAATTCGCAAGTTTTTAAATTCCCTATTTTTTATTTATCTTGCTTGCTAGCTATTTTATGCTCAACTATGAGCAAAGGATTACTTGATATGGTAGCTAACTTTATATACTGTAATGATGATAAGCACAGCTAGTAGTTAGCTGATGCGGTTCATGATGATTTACTGTAGCTATTGACCAAATGATCACATTAGTTCGAGATGTAAAATGTTAAGCTGCAGTTGGAGATTGTCATGTAGATTTGATACAACACTCACTAAGCGTGTGTAATATTTTTACCTGTAGAAAAGTAGTCGTTTCAAATAAAGCACATACGTCTAAAATATCGCTTTAAATAAACCTTCGTGTTTTTTAAAGTAATTATTCTATGAATGTGTGTAATAAAATTTCATATTATGCGTATTTTTGGTTTGTTTTACTCCTTCACTTCATACATAATGCGGGGATTGTATAGTGTACAAAGCACGAAGTATCTACATGTTACAGTCATCTAACGTTTATCTATAATTATTGGCTGGTAATTCCTGTTTCACCCTGTACTTATGCTTTTCAAAGGGACACCGAATAGCTGTAAAAAAACAAACTTCAAGGGGTAATGATAACATCGTTTACACTAGAATTATCATGTTCTTTAGTTTATGTAAATTATAGAAAAAACAAATCGACTATTCAATACCCTTCGCAGTACCTTATTTAGTGTTTGGTGCAATATACCAAGCCGTTTTTGTTGTAGGCTGTCAAGAGAATAAGAAGCATTACAAACGGGCTGTTTTGAGCGGATTTTCTTTTCTTTTTTTAAGTCTAGCATGTATATTTTTGGTGCATTTCTATATATGTATAGCCTTAGCAGTCAATAGAAAAAATTTTTAACGTATTGTTTGAGCTGAATCTTTACTGTTTAAGGTGCTTCTTGCCCAAAAGTTCTATTATGGTTTTGTGCAATTCTTTGCGATCCCTATTACGAACCACTTTCGTGGTTCACGCTTAATAAGAAATTTAAAATTCCAATAACTCCTTTTGCTTCTGTTTGTCTTTTTTCATAGCTTTTGATACTTTATGCTTCTCTAACGTTACTCTAAACTGGCCTAGCTACTACAAAGGTCAAGGTTAGGTGATGTATGTATACAAGTGTATCATAAGGAATTCACAAAATGAGGACTGAGTACCTGAAACTGATATTCCAACTGATCAAATAATCTAAAATAATAATAATAATGAACACAATTTCGTGTATAGCAATTAGTGAAAACTCACAGTAAACGGAACAAACTGTCAGAAGTCTGATATTAGAGAAACTAGTTTCGACACATTCGTGCGTCCTTTTCAGTCTCACGTTGTCTTCTGTTGACATTCACTCTTTCAAAATGTCATAGTTACAATGACAACACAATAACAGTGCATTAATATGGAAGTATATTGTAAAACAAATGCTTTTAGAACTGATGAAAAGATTTAACATCGGAGAAAATTGGAGAAGTGCAAGTTAGAAAACAGATCATGCCAACAAAAAATAGTGCGTCTAATATCCTCAAACACGGTTGTTTTAAAATACCTCATTATCACTTTAGTATTAATCAATCACTGTAAACAGTTTATAAAATGAGTGTAACGAGATGCCATGCGATTGAATGCTGAGATAATAAATCACTACTGTTACCGCGCATACGACGGCCTCGGACTATGTGTTAGTTTCCCTAAAAAAGTAAAACAAAAAAGAGCTAGCATTAGTCATTCATAAACCCAGCAATAAGACCAAAACAGCGTTTCACGTTAAAACAATAACATTTCCCAAAACGTTCCATAGTGTGTATACATCCGCTGGGAGGATATGAAGATAACTTACGAACTTATAGAAAACGAAAATAAAAAAAAATCTTAAATTTGTTATCACCAAATATAGCTATCAAAACTAAATCTTTTATTCTTACGCCAAAATTCTGCAAATTATTTTAGTAGTATATTGGCGTGAGAATAAAAAAAAAAAAATATGTTTAACCAACCAAAAAATGTACAGAGAGATGGTACATATATCTATATATATGCATAACTAAAAATGTCACATGTATTTTGTTTTGTTTTAAACAGAGTGGATGCTACATGGAATAAATTTAAATTTTTTATCAAGTAACAAGACGATGTAAAACAGTAACTCAAGTAATGACTGGTACAAAATCTTACGATAATTAAGATTTTTACTAAGCAATAAGACGATGTAAAACAGTAACTCAGGTAATGACTGGTACAAAATCTTACGATAATTTAAATTTCTACCAAGCAATAAGACGATGTAAAACAGTAACTCAAGTAATGACTGGTACAAAATCTTACGATAATTAAGATTTTTACTAAGCAATAAGACGATGTAAAACAGTAACTCAGGTAATGACTGGTACAGAATCTTACGATAATTTAAATTTTTACCAAGCAATAAGACGATGTAAAATAGTAACTCAAGTAATGACTGGTACAGAATCTTACGATAATTTAAATTTTTACCAAGCAATAAGACGATGTAAAATAGTAGCTCAAGCAATGACTGGTACAGAATCTTACGATATTTTAAATTTTTACCAATCAATAAAACGATGTAAAACAGTAACTCAAGTAATGACTGGTACAGAATCTTACGATAATTAAAATTTTTACCAAGCAATAAGACGATGTAAAATAGTAACTCAAGTAATTACTGGTACAGAATCTTACGATAATTTAAATTTTTACCAAGCAATAAGACGATGTAAAATAGTAGCTCAAGTAATTACTGGTACAGAATCTTACGATAATTTAAATTTTTACCAAGCAATAAGACGATGTAAAATAGTAGCTCAAGTAATTACTGGTACAGAATCTTTTTGTTAAGAAATATTTGCTGATAATTGTTAAAATAATTAGTGCAACATGACTATAGGTGAAAAAAATTATATATTAAGATTGTTTTTTTGCTGTTGTTTCTTAAGACTCTAAAGATTCATTCTTTCAAATTAAGGTTTCAAACTTATGACAAACTTGATGGAAACAAAGGTTTATCCAGTAAGAAAAGTAATTAAATTTTTAGAAAAAATATAGAGATATAACAAGTCTGTAATATTCGAATCCAAAGTTATCTTTATACTGTGTGAAATGTCCAACTTTTGTGGCCATCAAATATTATTCACAGTATCTTTGGCTGCAATAAGGTGAATTTTTTTGTAAATGGTAAAACCATTGTATCATTTCAAGACTACAAAATCCAATTACATAAGAAATCCGTGATAAGTATGTGATAAAACAAGATGAAACAGTTAATTATGAATATAAAAAAAAACAGTAAGCACATTATTCTACTTGTCTTTTGATCAACGAGAATACAAAAATCACAAAAGGTTATATTAAGATTAATGAATGGATTTGACGACCTTATATTAAGATTAATGAATGGATTTGACGATCTTATATTAAGATTCATGAATGGATTTGACGATCTTATATTAAGATTAATGGATAGATTTGAGGATCTTATATTAAGATTCATGAATGGGTTTGACGATCTTATATTAAAATTAATGGATGGATTTGACGATCTTATATTAAGATTAGTAAATGGATTTGACGACCTTATACTAAGATTCGACGATCTTATATTAAAATTAATGAATGGATTTAACGATCTTATATTAAGATTAATGAATGACTTTGACGATCAAAAGCCCTGGAAACCGCACAGCAGCTATACTATTCAAAGAAACACCGACTTTTGAAAGAAAAAAATAGTCAGAACTAAGAGTATGCAATATAAAACGGTCAAAGTATATATTGAAAGTATGTCCCAGAATACCGCTGCCTGATATCTGTACTAAAAATAAATGTGGCCGTTAAAACACGTTATACACAGAAATAAAAGGGACAGGTCCAACGTTCGGAAAAAATACAGATATAAAAACACATATATCAAAGGCTTATTAAGATTAATGAAGTTTTCTTTTTGATTTTATGCATCCGTTATTTTCTTAAATGAAATTGCATTCAATGAAGACCATGAACGTTTCCAATTTTCCCTTCCCTCACAAATACGATAAAACTATCATAATAAACAACTGGTTCATCAGTAAGCCAAGATACAACAAATTAACAGCTCTATTTATTAATAAAACAAAATGAGAGTACATTAACCATACCTGTCTTTTCTCTTCGTCATTTGGAAGTTCTTCCACTGCTGGAAGTTCTGTTAGAAGACTAAACTTCCGGTCGTACACACATCGATGCAACTGCTTGTCGAGCATTCGGAAGTTTTCGTAATTTCTTCGGACGACCCACGATCGGCCGTTGCTCGCTATTTCCACACAAAACCACCACAAACGACCCTCATTCTCCTTATCAGCTCTGGTCACTGGTAACTGGGATACTTTAGAGGCGTCGGGACGTTCATCACACAAGCACATCTTTATCGAAAAAAGTTAAAATTATTTGTAAATCATCTTACAGATTTAAAAAAAAATCAAATGAATCTTAAGTTCTACACTCTTGTGCGCTATATTAAAAGCATATTTGTTTTTCATATAGTGCACACATGACATCTGTATCCCTCTAGAGCATAATAAACTTTGTAGAAGGTTCTAACTGACACAAGTTGTTGTTAATGTTATTATTCAGAACATTCTGAAAGTTAAAGATATGCCGAGAAAATTACTATTTTAAAAACTATATACATTACAATTTTAAACATCGTTACGATAAAATTAAAAATTATTGACCAGTCAGTCTACCCATTTTGCTTTCTGTACCAAAAATTTCACTTTATCATTTTGTCAACATTCATCCCAAAGAACAACTGAGCATCCTAAATAATCGCGTGCGATTCACATCCTTCATTAAACGAGCGACATAAAATTTATCCTTCTACCTTATAAGACCGAAAATGTCACGTGCTCCAGGATTTGGGAAAAATTATACTTCTATGAGCACTTTTTTACACAACCTGAATTTCCTGTCCACCAAGTTGTATTTTGATTTCATAAATTATTATGTACTTTAGTCTCTAAATTTTAAGATTTGTTTGTTTGTTTTGAATTTCGTGCAAAGCTACACGAGGGCTATCTGCGCTAGCCGCCCCTAATTTAGCAGTGTAAGACTAGAGGGAAGGCAGCAAGTCATCACCACCCACCGCCAACTCTTGGGCTACTCTTTTACCAACGAATAGTGGGATTTACCGACACATTATAATGCCCCCACGACTGAAAGGGCGAGCATGTTTGGTGGGACGGGGATTCGAACCCGCGACCCGAGCTCCCTAACCACCTGACCATGCCGGTCCCTAAATTTTAAGAAGTATCTTTGAAGACTTTGACCAATAACCCAAAATAAAGGCAGCTTACATTTATGTTATATGTATATATTATATAACGAGATGACCACAGGCATTCTAAAAATGAATAGTGGTACAATACTATACAACAAAATACTGCAAACTTGTGCTGCAGAAAACAAAAACGGAAAACCTGTCTTTTTCAGGATATTGAAAAAATTACACTATCCCAATACTGAACAATAAGATACTCCCAGTGATAACAATAGAACGATACTAACGATACTCGTCAATGAATTCAAGTTACAGAGTTATCTTACAATACTAAAGTACACAATACTGCAAACATGGACGGCAGAAAATAAACACAACAGCTGCACACTTGCAATACTACAAACACGGACGACAGAAAATAAACACAACAGCTGCACACTTGCAATACTCAAACACACGACAGTAAACACAACAGCTGCACACTTGCAATACTCAAACACGGACCAGAAAATAAACACAACAGCTACACATTTGGCGATGTTAACATGGGTATAGAATAGTTTCACTAGTTACAGTATTTAAATTGCGAATATAATGCTTCCCTCAATATTATAATGTTTTCCATCACTAGTTACAGTATTTAAATTGCGAATATAATGCTTCCCTCAATATTATAATGTTTTCCAGTCAAATACTTGTGGGCAAGAATGAATCCGTGTGACACATATTTCCACGTCAAACGGATATAATCTTGTAACTAATACACAATATCTCTTGAAAATATACCATAGCCACATTCATATCCACTATTGGTCACTGTGACAGGTGTCATTAACACGCCCGCATTGGCAGCGTAAGCTCCTACATCCAGTGTTGCAGCCGCAAGAAATTACTGTTAAGCAGGACCCAGGAACAGATGAAAGAGACGTGAGTATTGGATGCACAGAATGTCCTCATGACATCATCAGCCCATAGAGTCTGGAGAAGGGCAGATCAGGATAGCTTGCCTCGTAATGGGAACGCTTGATACGTAATGATAATGTGTCACATGTTAGTGAAAGAAACGCAGGTGCATGAGATTTAACGAAATTTGATTGTGGATAAAGTATTATTATGTGGAAAGTCAGGTTTGCAGTAGACGGTTTAATGGAAAATAAGCGATGTTTAGCATTTTGAAGAGTAAAGTCAGAATACAGCTTCACAAACAGCAAATATGGATTCAACACACCCAAATGTTATTTTTAAAAACCGCATTCCAACTATTCCCCCACCAAAATATGCGTAACATTTTATAAAGTCACATTTTTCTGATTTCCCTATGTTTAATCTATATAAAAAGAGACCACAGAACAAAGTATGTTATATAGATGTATAGATAACAGTGAAATAATGTTACGTGAAAAAGGTAAAATAGATTGGAAAGAAAAAGTGTTGATTTAAAAATCATGTTTTGAACACGACATACGACTTTATTGAAAACTTTAAATCGTGTATTTTCTAATTCTCGGTGAAACGTATAATCCATGTGCTTTACAAGTTATAAGACCTTAGACTTGTGCTGAGTTACCGGACAGCATGAACGTATGTTTTAATTTAAATTAGGCAACTGACCATATTCATATGCATACGCCTCTTCCATGTATGTAATATACATACTAAGTAGAATTTAGCCCCCAGTGGCACAGCGGTATGTCTGCGGACATACAACGCTAGAATCCAGATTTCTATACCCGTGGTGGGCAGAGCACAGATAGCCCATTGTGTAGCTTTGTGCTTAATTACAAACAAAGTACGACTCTGCTTACTGAAGCTGATAGACACAACAACGCACTGTGAAATGTATGTTAAGTAAATATTTCTTTTTAGCTGTTATAAATTAATCAGTCACATACACGTGTGTGCTGACTGATAACTATAACAATGACTGTTAGATGTTATCAGAGGCGTCTCTAGGCACTGGAACACGGGGCCCGTGCCCCGATCCTATATGACATTACCCCGAATCCTCAGTTGGTGTCTTGCAAAATCAGAACAGAAAATCACGATCGATATCATACTGAAACACCGAAAATTCCCGCGCTTAATGACCCGAGTTCTAAATATTTTAAGCACCTATCGACGCCTCTGGATGTTGTCTTACCTTTTTCATGATCATACACATTTGTATTTGTGCATGTAATCATATTTCTTTAAAATCAAAGAATCACTTGATAAATAACTACCTCGCGGTTCAACTGTCAGAAGAAAACAATGCGCGCTGCTGACCGGTATTA